GGATCTCTACTTTACCTTACTGCAAGCCGTCCGGATATCTCATATGCAGTAGGTGTTTGTGCCAGATTCCAGTCAAAGCCAAAGGAAAGTCATCTGATAGCAGCTAAAAGGATTCTTAGATACCTCAAAGGAACTCAGAACATGGGTTTGTGGTATGCTAAGAGCAATTCATTTGAGTTAGTGGGATACTCAGATTCTGACTTTGCCGGATGCAAAGTTGACCGGAAAAGTACATCTGGTACTTGTCAATTCATTGGTGGAAATCTTGTTTCTTGGTTCAGTAAGAAACAAAACTCCATTTCTACATCAACAGCAGAAGCAGAGTACATTGCAGCCGGTAGTTGTTGTGCTCAAGTTTTGTGGCTAAAGCAACAACTACTGGACTATGGAGTCAAGACAAAGGAAGTGACACTCTTTTGTGACGATCAAAGTGCCATAGCCATCTCTCAAAACCCAGTGCATCATTCTCGCACTAAGCACATTGATGTCAAGCATCACTTCATCAGAGATCATGTGGAAAAGAAAGATATCAAAATTGAGTATATCTCAACTGAAGAACAACTGGCGGATATCTTCACCAAACCACTAAGTGAAGCCAAGCTTTCCGATTTGCTTCACAAAATTGGTCTAATTCAATTAGACTAAATGTAGTACACGTGGCAGTTCACTTTCCACGTCTTTCAAAATGATGGGTGGGACGTGGCCTTGGGAACAGTTAAAAAAAAAATCCAATCGCCACTAGCCGCATAAATCGCCCACATTGAAACCCAATCGCCACTATTCAGATCTCAACCGCCCACTCAAAAATTCTTCGTCATCTTCTTCGCGAAAAATTCTCAAGAACTTGCAAGAACCCTAAGTCTTTCTTTCTCAAATTTTCACCCAAATTTCTGAGAAAATGAAGGTTGTCGGAGCAAATGTCCACTTCCAGAAGTTAGAAGCCAAGTGCTCCTCACCAACATTCTTCCAAAGCTATCTACAAATGATAGCCGCTCAAGAACTCTCCGAATTTCTTCAAATGGAGATTCGCCTCAAATTCGAGGAAGAAGTTCTCGAATTCTACAGAAATGGAGAAATCAAAACTGCCCATTCCAAGAAGGACCCACAGAGGACGGTTCCAGTCATCAAGTCCACTGTTGGAGGTACAAAAGTGAAGCTTTCACAGAAGAAATTGGGAGAAAAGCTTCGCCTTCCCAATTCTGGAGTTGAAGTTGGGAAATTTCCAGTCAAAAATCTGGACTGGAACATCATTGGAATTTCTGGGCGAACTCCTTCTGGCCCTGCGAAGAAAGCAGATCTAAACAACGATTATAAGTTGGTTCTAGAACTGGTCATCGCTTGCCTCGAGTGTGGAAGTGGAGGTCATCCCGATGACATCACCTAGGAGAGAGCCTTCATCATCAACTCTCTCATTACCAAAACTAAGGTAAACTGGGCTGCACACTTTTTCAATTCCATCTCAAAGCACTTGGGAAAGCCCAACCAGAAATATCTCTGTCAAGGACTATACCTTGGACATATTTTGGGATCTATGGGTATTGCTTCTAAAGGAAAGAAGTATGAAGAAAGATACTGGTTATATTATCTGTCTTCAAAAGGGGAAAACAGAGCTGGTACTAGTGCCACTGCAGAAGAAAGCTCTTCAGATAACATCCCACTCATCCCTCCATTGAAGCACCACAGAATCTTGCTCCAATAAATCTTGAAGAAGAGGAAGAATCCTCTGACCAAGGAGAACTTCAAAGGAAGAAGTAGAGGAAGATCAACTCCCCATCAACATCTGGAAATGTCAATCCGGATGAGTTGAAGGAAAAGGAACCTGCTGAGGAAACATCTGCTCATAACCGGAGCCCTCAACAATTTGAAGAAGAAATTCCTCAAGACCAAAGCCTTCTAACCTCATCTCAGCATCAAACAGATGATGCAGATAACCAATTCTGGCAGCTATACTATGATTGGAAAGCCTGGAAAGTTGGGAATTCAGCAGAGCAACTATTGAATTGGGACCAACAGCTGAAGAATGAGAAAATCATCAAGAAGTGCTTAGGAATACCAGTCAACCACAACTGTGAACAGATTTTGGATGACTACTGGGTATGGCAAAGGAACCCTGAGGACTTGCATCTGGAATACCTGGCCAATACACCAGTTTCAGACTGTGAAGCAGATGATGAAGACACTGCAGTCTTCAAGCCAGTCTTCTCAAAAGCTACAGAAGATCAAGTGGCTCTCACTTCTGAAGCAACAGCTGAGGATTTCCAAACATTTCCGGAAACCTCACCTGCCCTCGAAACGGAAACCTCACCCGCATTTCAGGAAACTTCACATGCTCCTGAAATGGTTCTGACTGAAGTTGTTCAAGAGAAGGCAACCCCTCCCTCCCAAGAACAGAACCAGGAAACAGCAGATGAAGAAGAATTTCAGCCACTAATCCAATCTCATGTTTTGGAGATTCTCACCACTCCTTGTGAGATCTCCAATCCTAGTGAAATTGAGATCCCGGAAAAGTCAGCTGAAATTCCGGAACAGTCAGCTCTTCCAGAAACAATGGAGCAAGCTGTTGAAGCACAAAGGAATTCTGGAGAAGCTGCAAAAGAAGCTCAAATGGCAGAACTAGAGGACTCTGAAACTCAAGTAGCCATTTTTGAAGAAGAGAATACAGTTGAAGAAAGGGACTCCCTCTCTAGGGAAATATCAAATTTTGCGCTTGAAACAGAAGGAGAATCTAAAAGAACACTGAAGGTTACTGATGAAGAAGATGTCCAAGAAGATGCTGAATCTCTTCCTATGCAACTCTTCCAAAGAACACCATCATCTCATCAGGTAACCAACTTTCATTTCCATAGCTCTTCCACCCCTGCTCTTCCGGATGAGATACCGGAAATCTAGACAAAGAAGGTCCAAGGGCTGATTGAATCAGCCCTAGCATCTCAACATGCCTCCTTTAGGCAAGAGATAGAACAAATGGAAGTCAGGCACACCCAGCTAATAGAGAAATCTGAACGAAAACACAGCGCAGATCTCAAAGAAATAAGCAAATCAGTGCAGAAAACTCTGGAGATTATCTCTCTATTGAGTGAAACTGTGAGCAACACGATGGAAATATATGCCTCTAACAGTCAACTTCATCTCAAAGAGATCAACAAAGTCAAAGAGCAAATAGCGAGTGTCACAATTAGTCTCCAAAAACAGATGTCCCTTCTCCAAATGGACATCAGATCAGCCCTAGCAGTAGCTTCTGCAAATCAGGTAGTGACCAAAGACTACTTGAAGGTGATTATTGACAATCAAAAGGAAGCATACAAGCTGTTCAGACTTATTGGTGCAAACTCTGGAAACCGCAAGATGGAAGTAATTCTCCAACAACACAGTCCATCTCCAATACCACAGCTCCCTATTGCAATCAAAGAAGGAGAAGTATCTTATATTCCTTCTCATCTGAACTTGACAAATCTAATCCTTGAAGCACAGCAAAGAAATCCGGAAAACTCAGCACAACTTCTATCCAGCTCAGGACTGGATGGAACAGAAGTTATAGGTACAGTTGTTGACCACTTCTCAAATGATGCTCAATCAGAAGAAAGACGTGAAAATTTAAGATGCATCAAAGAACTGTGTGGGAACATGAAGGGCATCAGTGAAGTTGCCGGATCTTCAACGCGCAAGAGAAACTGAAGGTTCTTTACATCAAAACAGGGGGAAAGTATGTGAAAACACTAATTTGTTTTGATGAAAACACCTTCTTGTTTAAACATTGCTTGATTGGTTTAAACATTTCTTAATTATGTTTTAATTGCGCTTATCTCAAGTATAATTTTGTCTTAATTATTTTTTTCTGAAGCGCATACATTCTGGGGGAATGTAATTCACGGGGAACTTAACTAGTTTTGGCTAACAATTGTTGCAATGAATTATTGATAAGCTCAAAGCAATGGAAGACGGATATCTCAGTTTTGGTACTAAAATTGGAAATCTCCGATTCAGGTACTTTACAAAATCTGCCTTCTTAAACTAAGCTTCGGTCCTTAATTCATTTCCAACCAGCTCTAAAAGTACTGGTCCTTAGGATGTTTAAAAATGTACAGGACTTTGGAAAAATAGTACCACTTTTCTTTTAAGTATTCACATTTGTTTTGGTGCTACCTCGTCCTAAGTAGAAATTAGAACTATAGGAAATGAAAAATGATAGTCTTATTTTGGGCCTTGAGAACCCAATAGGAATAATTTCCCTTTAGTACGTAGCTTTCTGTTCTTTTTGGGCCACTCTTTTGGGCTTAGCCAAACTAAAACAGTTACGTTTCTTAAACCAATCGAAACTGATTTTCTAATTAAAACAGTTTCAATTCCTTGGTAACTAGTAAAAGATTCCTTTTGCTTTTCAACTTCTTGGAAGTTGAAACTCCTTTACTCTCACCGTTCCAACTACCCACTTAATGGAACCCGTGAACCTCCTCCTCCCCTATTTAAATCAAGATATCTCAATCCATTTCCATCACAAATAACTCTCTCAATATGAAAAGTCATCAAACTCACTGTCTAAGGAACACACCAAGAAAAATATCCTCAATGGAGAAATTTTTCTTTCTCACCCTCATAGACGGCAATGGAAGAAGCCTATTGAGAAGAAAAGACTTTTAAGGTCTATGGTGAGAATCTCGGAAGTAGAGAAGGTCTATGGTGGAAATCTCGTATTTTTCAGTATTAGACCATACACCTTCTCTGGAACAACACTCTCTCTATCTTTCTTCTTATTTTGAGAGATGTTTTGCTTCCAAGATCTTAAATATCCACTTTGGATATTAAAGATCTATCAAACGCAATGCCAACCGCTCTGCCAAACACAATCTGCTGAAGCTGAAAACGGTCAATGGCGGAAGATATCACAAAATCTCAAGACAAGACTTGGTTTAGGAATTATTGTAATTTGAATTGTATTTGTTTAAGAGTTTTTGTTAACAAGCTGTATATTATGAGAAATTAAAAGAAAGTTATAAAATTAGTTCTCAGTACAGCGACCGGAACTCTTAAACACTTGTTTGTCATCATCAAAAAGGGGGAAATTGTTGGGAAAAATATTATAGATTTTGATGATGATGTATTTAGAATGTATTAGGGACTTTAAGCCTCCCCCAATATTCAATGTAATTTTTCTTTTTAGAAATATTGTCAAAACCGAGCTCTTGAGATTTCCAATAAAACTGTGATATTTCTCTAAGCGTTTTGATGCCTGAAGACTTAATCAAATTTAGTGATATGAAAATTGGATATCTTGATCGGAAGTGTCAGAGACAAGAAAGGATTTCTCAATCAGATGAAAATCCTCAGATCCGGAAGACTACATAAGAACCGGATGTCTCGCCACAACCCGCTGAAGGCTAAGTCATCCAAATCGGAAGACTAGCGCGGATCTCTTTCTCACCCGGAAGTCTGAAAATGACTCATCCGGATTTGTCAGCTAAGAATCGGAAGACTCACTGAAGATCGGAATTCTCAGAAAGCGGACAAGTGAGAAAAGACTTAGAAAATTATCTAAGTCCTGAATGAAGAAATTCTACCCGTTGGCAAGGAAAAATCAATCTCTTGATTTTCAACGGCTAGATTGAAGATAATTATGCTGATTCAAGAACAAATTACTCGAAGACAAAGTCTGGGCCTCTAAAATTAAAGAGCCTGCCCAGAATTCCTAAACAAGCACTAGAAGACAAACAGAGTAAAGTGCTACAGTCTTGAATTCTTGAACAACGGCTAGAAGACGGATTTTGTGGAAAAAGGAATCCTTTCTCAACAATTGTGTACGTCCAAACACCCACTTCAACGAAGAATCTTCAAATCACAATCTTCATTCAAAATTGAAGCCAGCAAATGCAACGGATAGTCTATTATGATTCAACGGATAGATTATCCAATCCAGCTATAAATAGCATCCTTGGAAGACTGGAGAGAGTACGGTGAGATACAACAACACAACGAAGCAATCACAAAAGCTATCTCATTCACAGTTAGCCCAAAAAGCTTGATAAAGAGAGATTTTTAAACTCCTTATCCAGAAGCAAACTTCTCCTCCTTCCAAAAAGCTATAGTGTAAACACTTGAAGGTTTCCTTGCCTCAAGCACCACACCACGTTGAAGGATATTACTTTTGATCAAACTTTTTGATTAAAAAGGGGGTAGGTCAACTCTCTTACAAGTTGATCTTGCAAGTCCTATTGTTCGGATCTTGCAGTTGTTGAAGAAGCTTGACCTTCGAAGGAACAACAAAGCCAGCACGAGTGCAGTAGCAACATTGGTCTTGTGAAGAAATACCGTGCAGAAATTCACACAAGTGTAATTGTTGGTTCATTATTCAACAACCAACTACATAGTGGATTTTGAGGACGTAAAAGGATTACCCCACCTTCGAACCTCGTTAAAGTTTGTGTGTCTCTCTCTCTTATCTTTATTACTTGCAATTATATTAACTGCGAAAACTAACCTATCCATATTCATTACTGCTCACTCTACCCACCAAAATTCCGCACACAATCTAAAGTTCACAAGGACTCTAGATTAACACTCATTTTCACGTTCTCAAAAGAAACGAAAAAGATTTTAAATCTGTAACAAAGTCTATTCACCCCCCCCCCCTCTACACTTTGTATTTCACCACTTTGGGACCACCAAATGTAACGGAACACGTAGACCAAACTAGAGGATCACTCGTTTGGAAATACTTCGACTCAATGATGATTAATTATTGTCTTATTGTTGCCTTAAACTAATTATAGTTTAAGCGTCTGAGAAATGTTTGCCTTAAACTAATTAAAGTTTAAGCGTCGGAGAACTGTTGCCTTAAACTAATTATAGTTTAAGCGTCTGAGAA